CGGTACAGCTCCTTCGCATCCACTCCACTCTTATTTCTGATCTTGTCTCTACTCATATTTTAAATGCAGTTAAAAATAAAACATCAGGTTTTACATTTTGTTTATAAATCGTATTCCTTTATTGTTTCCTCTAACACTGTGGGGTAATCTCAGCCTATCTTCACAGCCAGTGGTCTGGAAGTCATCACCAAATCTTGAGGTTTATACAAAAAAAGACAACCATGATGTTCTCAGCATGTCCCTTAGGGCAGCTGAATTGGCACCTACTGGTAGGGATTACTCACCCAAAGGTGTTAGCTTCTGTCTGGCTGCAAACCAGCAAGACAGCTTGACTTCTTTCCCTGAGTCCTGGGTGCTTGCACCGGTGTCCTCCGTGCCTGCAAACATCATCACCTCCCCTGCCTTCAGAGCAGCTTCCCTTCCTCACTCCCGTGTTTCCTGCTCCCGTGGACCACTGGGTCCTTAGAGTCCCTCTCTGAGGCTCAGAACCTTGATGTGCTTTTAACTCTTTCCTTTTTTTTTCATCTCTAGTGAACAAGGCATCATGTTTTAGTGATTTGTCTTTTGGAGAGTGTCTCCAAGCCCTACCCTTACTATCACTAGTGCCCTAACTTGATTTGCATCATGGTGACTACAAAACAAGACCATTCAAGACCCTCACCAGAGTTCATGCTTCCAGCCATCAACACAATCCATGGAGCTCTTTCTAAATATTGAGCTTAAAAATGTGATGGATTAAGAATGAGACAGAGCTTTGCCCTGAGGGCTTACATTCCAGTAAAGGATATATATAGATAGATGTACATAGATATAATCGTGTAACACAGAATTTTCTACCTGATAGGTGAGAGGTGCTCAATAAATGAGCTTTAAATAAGTTAGTGTCCAAATAATGTAGTAATATTTCAGTGCCAGGAGAGGTGGTTTCAGAGGAGGGTTGTAATTTGAAGGATGAATAGGATGTGTGTAAACACAAAGGAGGTGGGGGGTGGAATTCCAGGTGGAGTTAGATGGAAAGCCATGCTTAGAAGTGGGGTTCTAATTGGAGACTGGGGTGAGAGGCCAGATAGCCCAGTTGGGCTGGAAGGCTTCTCACATGGGAGCTGTGGAAGTTAAGCTGGAGTGTCAGGTGTGGAGGAGGTTTAAACTCCAGGATGGTTGCACAGAGCGCCTGTTGGATTCACCCAAAAAGCAGTGTCATGGAATTTCAGATGCTCTTTCTCATGCCAGCAGCTCAATGTATTTATGAATGCAATATACTGTTTTAAAATATCAGTCAGAATGTAAAATTTCTCTCGTGGCAGATGGTTTAGTGAGACTTTGGGGTAGAAACCCTTTGCTTTTATATTTCACAGTTTCATAAACATTAGATATGGTTCAGCGCTTTTAGGCCGCTTTTACCCTGGCTGTTCTTGGGAAAGCATCCTCTTGAGGAGCGATGAAGCGTGGTTTTAGGTGCATGGATCCAGAACACAGGTTTTCATTGTTATCTTTTGAAACATGATTGACTTGTTATAGTTCAAGTGCTTTAGGGCAAGGACGATGCCTTACTCATTTCTGTGTCGCTGTGCCTGCCACAGTACCTCAGAGCGTTCGATGAACATTTGTGAATGCATTAAATAAACGACTGGGTTGCTTAAAATTCACAACTATTGGGAACAGCAGTAATTTTGGAGACCTGTGCAAAACATTCTTTATGCTGTACCATTCTGGTTTTTTGCACTCTAAAAAAAAATCTAGGTGTCAGTTTTCTTGGAAATGTATGCAGCTGCAGAAAGAAAGATGCAATCACAAAGTTCATGTCAGAAAACAATCCAGGCTTCCCATGCTTGCCCCTTCTCCGCTGGTTTCCTCCACCCTCTGTGTTGAAAACAAAGGGCCGTGCCTCACAGCCTGGTGGAAAGCATCCACCCGGAGCATCCTGGCCCACTTCCCTCGAGAACCTTCTCATCTTGCCTGAAGCAAAGTGGCTATTGGTTTGGCTTTTTAGGTCTTATTTCAAGTGTCCCTGTTCTGTTGGCAAAGTCTTTGAGCACCGCAGGTGCCGTGTCACTGGGAACTGGAAACCAAGAGGATGCAGGCTTCCTCCCATCCCCAAGCTTCCACCTTGACAAGAGGAAGCTGCAGGAGGGCTTGTTTGCCGGATTCCCCAGCCCCCACCCCCACCCTGTGCTGCTGCCTCACGTTGTCTTCTTTGGTCTGTCGTAATCTGTCACCAACCAGACCCGGTTACAGGAATAACAGCTCGAACAGAATTTTTTATGGGGGTAATATTTGTTTATTTTCTTTTTTAAATTGAAGTATAGTTGACATACAACATTATATTAGTTTCAGATGTACAACATAGTGATTTGACGTTTATATGCGTTATGAATTGATCACCATGCTAAGTCTAGTCACAGTCCATCACCATACAAAGTTATTGCACTATTATTGACTAGGGACCGTTTACTTTTTAAGCTGCCATTTTTACCATTGTCTTTATTTCTTTTGATTCCCATACTAGCTCCGATTATCACCCTGGGTTCTTCCTGGTGTACTGAAGCCAACAAAACCCATATCATCTTAAATATTGGTGTCACGTCTACACTCCCTATAATGTGAGAGCACCTGTCCCTTAGCTCGATATCTCTAAGGGACTTTAAAACATACACAGGGAGCAAGTGTTGTTAGAATGGAATGAGTCTCAGGAGAGCCAATGCTTGACATTTTGCACCTTGTCACAATGTATTGTGTTTATAATGTACATGGTAATCTTTTTAATTCACTGAAAGCTTGTTGAAAATGAGGACTGTGCTTGATTCATTTGTATCCTCCATGACTCTGAGCGAAACGCTGGTACTCAGAAGCCCTAAAAAAAAAGTGAGCCTGTGAATCAATGAGTGAGGTTAGGATTGAAGGAAAGAATGAGCAAATGGGTGGTTAAATGAATAACTGAGAGGATGAATCAGTGATTAAGTGATTGTATAACAACAGGCTATTAAAATGAGCTCCTTTTGAAATAGAAAAGAGACTGAGAGATGTGTATCATATATAACCAATTTTTTTTTTCTTCAACAGAGAAGGCCGAGCTGCTTTGGTTTCATCCTTTGGGGTATTTAAGTACTTGACCATGTACGGCATCATCCAGTTTATTGGTACATCGCTGCTCTATTGGGTATGAACCAAAATAATTTCTTCCCAGTTCTAATTGCATTTACATCCCTTGTGTATTTCCAGGGGTGGGGAGGGGTGCAGCTCCTACCCAGGATTTAATGTTTTATAAATAAATGACATTTCTCAAAATAGATGTCTGCAAACTGGCAAACTTGGTAGAACTGTGCAGGAAACAGCACTAGAAATAAGTGCACATGAATTGGTTTCTGTGAGTGTTGTTTTTCTCTAGATAACCTGAGACTCTTGACCTCCTCAAGCCTCGATTTCTTCACTTAGAATGTGAAGAGAGCTTCAGAGCCGCCTAAGTATAACACAGCGGGAAACAGATCAGTCTCCAACTGTGGAATATTTGGGGCCCACCAAGAGGAGAGAAAGAGAAAGAGAAGTTGTTGAATTTGACTTTGAAGGATTCAAAACCTGGAAAAGCTCCCATACTGGAGCTTTCCTTCTGAACCTGCCCAGAGCTTTCACATGTCATTAGTAAAAGATTAGCAATTCTGTAAAAAAAAAATAATCATAATAAGATTTTTTGAAATGAAATGATAAAAATAATCATCTAAGAATTCATTAGCTGTATGGAAGAAGTATGTATAGGTTGAAAGTAATCTGTATCGGTCCAGGTATAACTTGCTCTGCAGGAAAATGACAGCAAGCTCAGGGCATGCTGCAAGGAGGGGATTATTTTACTGCTTTTCTGGTGAAGGAGAGAAGCACAGGGCTCCAGCCTCTGGGAGGTTACCAACTGCAAGCAGCACACACCAAGGCAACCAGGTGGATAGAAACAAGACCTGAACTGCAAGCCAGGAAGCCTGGATTCACGTTCTGTCTCTGTCACTAGAGCAAAAGCGATCGTGCTCCTGGCCAACCCTTTATCCACCTCCAGGTAGTCAGGCTGGCTGATTGCCAAAGCCTTCCATCGTTCTATGAAAGCTGCTCCCAGAATAAAAAGGAAAGCCACCTTTGAAAATGTCTCCCTCTTCCATCTCACCCTGCATATGTATCATTTTACCAATCTGAGGGGAAAAGTAGGGGAAAGGACATGAGAAAGAAATGTAAAGAAGGCAGGGGAAGAACTGGAGGATGAGAGAGATGCGGAGGAATCATTTGCATCCTCTGAAAAATACAAAAGCAGATTTTCAGCCCCACTGTCTCCCTGGATAGAGTTGGAACCAGAGTTTACTCTGAAAAGTTACCCCATTCACTCTGAAGGTCTAACCCTAAGTAAGAGTGTCCCCCGAGGACCTTCACCTGGAAGCTTCTTGGTGTTGGGTTCGCCCTCTAGTTCTGGTTTACCCAGAAGTATTTTTTATTTGCATGAGTCTGGTCTGTAAAATGTGTAGAACCAGATTCTGACTGAGTGCTCAGTCAATAGCTAGGAAGCCAATAAACAGACCTGGCTGCAAAAGATAGTGCAGGGCAAGTTCCTGGAGAATAACCAGCTGACTTTTATATTGAAATTCTTCAATTCCTTTAATGTGAACAGAAAAGAAGTTCTGTGTCTACATATACCTTAGAAAGGCAGGTGTACTGGAATGAAGTCTGTGATGGGCTTACTTGACCTCAATCTGTGGATAGGATGGAGGGGAAAATGTGTGGAATGATTTGAGACCCCAACTTAAAAGACCCAGATTTAAGTTTGACGTTCCCAGCAAGACTTTCAGGCTTAAATATCTCATGTTGAGGGTTCAACCGTCCAGGCTGAGACTACAGCGGCCAGAATTACTGTGGCCAATATGAGGATATTTCCCAACTGACTGACTTTCATTGCTAATTTGGAATTAAATTTAACACTAGGAAAAGAGTGATTTAAAAATTTTTAATTTAATTTAATTTTACCCCCTTAACGAAGGCACTAGGGATTGAACCCAGGACCCCATGCATGCCAAGCATGCATTCTACCACTGAACCATACCCTCCACCCCCTAGTAATGATTTAGTTCTGTTCTATCTAATGAGATGCTAAAGATTTTAGGCAAATGACTCTCTTCCTAAAGTGCGAGAAAAAGTAACAATTGCTTCCTGACTGCTTTCAGGAAGAGTGTTGGGAATGATGAAGAGGTCATGATGGTAGAGCCTCACTTATGTTTACTTTCCTTTCCTTTTCAGCAACTACAGCTTTTTGGGAATTATCAGTATCTCATGCAAGATGTAGCCATTACCTTGATGGTCTGTTTAACAAGTAAGCTCTTTGGCAAAGTAAACCATATTGTTTGTATTTATCCATGAAATTCCAGAAATACTCATATAAATAAGAGCTTTGGAGAACAACACACTTCAACTACCAAAACCTCATTATCTATGAATTTTTTCAAAGTGGTCTTTACAGTAAGTTGAGGGTTGATGTCCTCAGACTTGGCGTTAAAATATCCTGTTAGAGAATAGGTCTTAGCCTCAGAAAATTGTCAACGTATTCTGAGTTCTTTGTAGATTTGTGTCTTGTACATAGAAAAATGTACAAGAAATCCAGGAAGGGAAATCTTTAAAACCCAAAGGTCATTTTCCATTATGCAGTTATGCTTCACATTGACGTGAAACCAGATTTTTGCTAGGTCTTTGACGTTTGAGGACAAATGCTAGCGTTTTATTCTAGTGGAATTCTCTCAAAAGCAAGGTGTGGCTTACAGTGGCTATCGCTCATTTCCTCCCTTTGAGATGACACTGATAAGTATTTCCTGTCAAAGAACTCAGGGCTTGATACTAACTCTTAATAAGTAAGAAAGGTGACTCCTTCATCAGAGAACAAAGAAAAAGAATGACATACGCATCTCTTTTTCCTTGTTCAACAATGGAAGTGTTATGAAAAATAACAGATAAAACTTCAAGCAATGCAGGATATTAATGACCTTCCATGTAGCATCTTAAAGCATGAAACTGATATCAAAGTCATTTATCTTATCAGCCCAATGACAACATTTACCAGTATCAGAGATGTAAGTACTATCAATTTTGATTCTTAAGGTTGAAATATTCATAGCCCATTAAAATATTTTCTGTGTTTTATGAATATTCACATGGCTGGATAATTTTGAATCAGTGATATTGCTTCTACCGTGTTGCATATTCTTTAAGCAATTTGCATGATTTACTTGTGAACATGGACAAGGATGCTAAAAAGAAACAAAGAATACCAGGAGGTTCCAAGAGCTAAGCTAGCAGGCAGTAGCATCAAAGTGAAGGCCATGGGCATCCTCCCTGTCTCTGTGACCTTTGGCATGTATTCACTAAATAAATAATTGACTCATAGGAAGCGTCTTTATGGGACTCTGAGGATCCAATAACACGATGCATGTAAAGTGTATAGCCCAGTACATCGCATCTTGCAAGTACTCATTACAAGATACTGTGCTCCACGCACCCTCTTCGTCTTCTTTTGAGAAGACTGACTAACTTGGTGAGTCCAAGAAAAGACTTAGACTGTGTACAAGTAGACTATTTGATTAGAAACTCCAAAACATGGGTGGTAGCCTTGCCTCAGAATTGCCAGACGACCTTGAGCAAGTTGCTTTGAGCTTTTGCGCACTTAATTCCATGATATTGGTTATGAATCTGACTCCCATGGTGATGGGTGTACTTTATTCTTTCCCACGGCAATAGCCTGTTGACCTTCCTGCCATTTGGTCATCCTGTGAAACGTAGCCTCTCATCTCAGAGCTAGCTTGGTGGGAGAGGTGAGATGACTAAGGGCAGGACCACTGTTACCAGTGGGAGACAAAAGTCTCAGAAGGGTGCTAGATCCGAAGCATAGTGTTCTACTGGAAAGATGGCACTTCATCCAATTATTAGTCAACAAATGTGTAGCTGGCTCAGTGAATGGGCTAGACTTGGGGTAGATTGGTAAAGGGAGTAATAGCGTGAGGAAACAGCTATTTTTTGTTTATTTTCACCTGCTACCTTCAAACACTATTGCTTTCCCATCCTTGCAAGCTCAGTCATGCTACAGGCAGATCATTTCCTGGTCCATTCCAGGTATTAAAATGATCTCACCTTTAGCTGTGAAAAGGCCAAGTATTAGAAATTAACATTTCATGTTTTTATCCAATTTAAAATTTTCTTCCCCAAATCAAGCGTGACCTGTGGCTCGGAGCAGGTAGTGGGAGAGAAGGCCAGGATGTCTATTTTCCCTGTGTTGGCTACTGTCAGCCCTGCCTTGGTGACCACGAGTAGCAGCAGCCCAGGACTTTCTCCTTAAATGGGGCTATTGTAGTTCTCTCCTGTCACGTGCCCTCCAGCAGGGTAGGCATCTAAACTCAGGCACTTCGCCTGCGGCTCACTTATGAGTCCTTGAGTTCTTCAGAGTCCCTGAGGAGCGGTCTGGACCAGACCACTCCCTGACATCGGTGCTGTTCTCTCCTCTGACCCCCTAGGATCACTTTCAGCCACTGCCTTTTCTAGTGCTGTGTGCTACAAAGCCGTTTTCTTCTGCTGGCCCTCTGGCCCCAGCAGACTGCCCCGCTGAGCAGATTCCTTCCAAGACAGCTCTAGCCTGGTTCATTTCAATGGCTTTTACTTGACCTACCAGCTAATAGATGCATAGCTTGTTCTCACTGCTGCCCCCTCTCTCTTCTCTCTGCTATTACAAGCAGGGGAATGAGAAATTCAGTCTCCTCCTCACCACTTCAGGTCTCTCCTAGGGTGATTCTTAGGACCTCCTCTCATTTGTGTTTGGGTGCTACTGGAAAGAAAACCACAGCTCTTGCTGTTCTTAACAATTCCCTTTAAAGAATCTCTTGATCATCTCCATGGTTTTCTCTTACATGGTCTGTACCTGGGTAACTGGGGAAGAGGGGTTGGCATGCTTACAGTTGAAGGACCAGGATACATCCTTCTTACTAGGTACTATGAAGATATGGTAGTCATCTCTCTTTACATTAAATTGGCACTTGCCTTTCATTGTCCTCAAACATGAGGCTCAACAAAATTCCCCAGCCAAGAGGGACATCCCCATTCAACCTCCTCTTAGAAAAGTGTTCATCTCCCATTATGTGTTAGGCACATAAGTACCAGGGGCATTAAAAGTCTTCTCACTGATGTTTCAAGTTTAGCGAAGAATTCACATACATGAATGGATGAAATCCAAGTCAGAAGCAGTGAGTACCAGAAACCAACAGATGCTTTGGGAGTTCATAAAAAGAGGAGATTGTTTCTAATGATGGGAAGAGATAACAATGGAGAAAAGAGACATACTGGGGGTGGCTACATGGAAGAAGTAGCATTGGCACCAAAATGTAGAGTGAATAGATTTTAAATATCTTTTTTTTAAAAAAAGAAGGGCATTTCAAGTAGAAGGAAGCAGCAGGAGCAAGAGAGAGCTGCTAAGTATAGGGTGAGAGTTTTTCAATTTGACCACACTGTAGGGTATGTGGAAAGAAACAGCAGGAGGTAAAATCTGAAAAAGTAGGTTGGGTCAGATCACAGAATCTTGACTGCCAGGCTGAGAACTGTGGACGTTTATCTGCGGCTGTTCGGAGTCATTGATGATTGTACGATTAACGTAAAATCACTCGCACCAAGGCATCTACACTTCCCAGCTTCCTAGACTAAAGCCTTTGACCTTAAGCCTGAATTAGTATGGGGAAAAGACAGTGCCATCACATGATTGATTGATTGGTTGGTTGATTGATTTGCTTGTCCATACACAGTCCCTGAGACAAAGGCTAGTCACGTTCTTTATTACACACCCCATCTGTGTCTTCCACTGGACTTCAAGCTCTTTGAAAACAGATGAAATATCCATCTCATCTCTGCGTACCTCATGGCCGCTAGCCCAGCACCCTCCCGGGAAACACTGGTTAAACTGCTAGAGGTAAAGATTCAGGCAGGCAGAGAGATACAGGGTGAGTGAGTTGGAAGAGCCTCTGGGGACCGTTTAGACATTCCAACATAGTCGTTTTATACACAAGAAAATGAAGGACCAAAGAGTTTACGTGATCACCCCAGAACACACACTGAGCAAACTAAAGACCCACTTTAGAGTTTTATTACCCCAAACTGGACACACGCCTCGCTGCCTTGCCCCTGTATGCATGAACAAAAAGCTACGGAGACATACCCTACTTTCTTACAACAAGGACACCAGTCATCAGCTGTGGGGCGGAAAGAGATGACAGATGTGAAGAACTGAAACATCCTGACCTCCCCGTGCTGCTTTTCTGCTCTGCCCTGAGAAGTAAAATACATTCCGTTTTCATCAGTTTGTTAGAATAAAAGGCTTCTAAGATGGATGTAGTTATCTTTTTTTTTTTTGGCAGTTCTATTTAATCTCTGACCCTTGCCAACCCCTCAGATGTTAAAAAAAAAAAAAATCCCAGGGCCAAAATATATTTTTAATACTCTCATCCAGAAGCAAGATTTTTTAAAGTTATTTTTCCTAAGTCTAATGTGCCCTAGCAGTCTTCCACTTACACACTTATCCAGGAGGAAGCAGGACACACCTCTAGCGTCTACCCTGGTACACTGAAGTGCTCAGAGAATGTTGGTTGAATGAATAATAGAGTGAATGTTCTTTAAAAAATATTTCCCAGCATATGAAGATTAGTCTAGCTAGATGCACCCTTACTCTCTTCATCTTAACTCCGCTTTCCCGTCAGCATTGAGAGATAATACTGCTGTTATCCTTATGGAAGGGCATCTTCCTCTTTTACGTACCATTCCTGGTCAGTCTGGTTGTGGAGAAAATATTTGCACTATTCAATATGGTAAATGCATTAATTATTGGACTTTTAAACCCACTACTTTTTGTTTCTGAGGGTGAAACCAAAGCATGGAAGACGCAAAGGCTGGTAGCATTAGATGTGCAGTTAACTAAGCAATGAGCTTTCCAAGGTGTAAACCCTTAATTCATGTTTGCTGAACTTGAACCCTAACACAAGACTCAGGATAATATGCATCTCAGTCTTTTACTTTCAATAATGAAGTT